AGCTTCAATTCATATTGAAGACCACAGTCCCTGACCTTCTGCAGCAAATGCTTCATGTCTTTCTGTTTCAGTAAGCAAAGTCTCCATCATAATGTCCCTAAAAAAATTACGGAACAAAAACACACAACCCTTTCCCTCCCCCTCCCATCAACTGGAAAGAGTATGCAGACGGTACCGTGCTCAAAGTAGTCAAACAAAAGGTTGGCAGTCTGAAGCCAACTGGAGGTGCTTCAGAAAGTAAGCCTGGTGATCTGCTTCCAAAACGTCACAGCCTAGAAAACTCAAGTAGCAGTTCTGTTCTACAGATATGAGGTCAGATATGAGCCTAAATCAACTCCAAAGGCAACTAAGAACAACTGATTTCAAATGAGATTAATTTGTCATTCATTTAAGTGAAACATTCAACTAGTTTGTCTATCAGTTAAGTTTATACTGTGGCTTTGAATAGTTCAGTCATGGCTAGCAAAGAAACCAGAACACACCTGACTTTTTGATTTAAAATGTGTGAGATGAAATTCTAACTGGAATGAGAAAAAAATGAGTGGAAGCCCTAGAATGGGTGGCTTGGGAGAGGTGGAGTGATTCTCTTTAGGAACGAGATGCACACAGCTTTGGGTTATCGTCAGGACCGTGACAGCAGTTAAGTCTGTGCTCTGGAATTAGATTCAAATCCCGTATCTATCACCTCTTCTGGGAGAAAGGTGGGCGATCTCCTCCAGTGATTGATTTACAATTTCTCACTTATTTGTTCTTTGCAAGTCAATTATTTATCCTCTCAGAAGCTGTTCATCGTTAAAATGGGAAGATTATTTCACCCATAGGATTGTTAAAAAATCTAGTATCATTATGTATGTAAAGCCTTACGGTAGTAACTGGCAGACAATATGCACCCAGTAAATATTAACTGTTATTATATATACATTTGAAATAAAAAAAATTCCACCTGGCATTAACAGAGTAACATGACACATTAACAGCTGATAATGAACTCTTATAGCCCAATTCTTCCCTGATAAGGACAGCAAACGCCTTAAATGAGGATCACAAAGTTGAAATCAATCATCCTGAATGCAAATGCTCAGCATTAGTCAGGTTTAAGCAGGCTGGAAGGCCCTGGAAAGTATCTCACATTCCCATTCTATATCCCTTCATTCTCCTCTTAGCCATTCCTTTCTGAAACTGAGTGCTTAGTAAATATATCTGAATATAAAAACAAATTAGAAAAGGTTAACAAACAAAACAACCAAAAACCCCACAAAAGCCAACACAACTAAAACAACTAGGGCAGAGTTTTATGAGGCCACAGGCCCAGCCTTTTCCAACAATTTTTCGATTTGTGTGTTTTAATTACCGGGAACTCATTGGGAACACCCATGGTCTCCCTCAGAATTTGCTGATTTTGACTTTCGGAGCCAACTTCTTGAGTGTAAAAACCATGCCCTACTTTCTGTTCTGAACCATCCCCTACTGTCATTAACGTCACGCACTTTACTTTGATTCAGACCAACAATCTCTTTTTAAACACATACATAAACATACCTCTTAAGGTAATAGACCTTAAAACTCTGTAGTTTTCTCCCTTTTACAGATGAGGAAATCAAGGAAAGCAAGCGTGGGAGTAGGAATCTGAATCCAATCCTGACTCTCCTTTCCCCACATTAGTGTTGCCTATCCTTACTCCCTTGTCTTCTCCTTCAAGGCCACTTTACCTCTTTAACAGTTATTCTTGGGTTCTCATACTTGCTCCACGGCAAGTCTTCCAGTGAACATGGAAACTAGTGCCGTTTCTACCCAGGTCTGTTTATTCGGACAGCATCCTCTGGTGTCCAGAAGGAAGTGGTGATTGCAGCCATGCTTAAAAGAAAAAAGTGGCAATCGCTTCCAGATGAGCTTATTATTCTAAACTTAACATTCCTTTGGTATTTAGAATTTCCACTTTCTCCCTCCCACCCCCTTTGCATTTATGTAATTAGAAAGCGTGCAACAGGAAACGATTTGTGTCTCAGTACCATTTAGGATGAGGTTGTTCCAGCACCATGGAGTCCATCCTGGTGGAAATATTTTGCACAGTTTATTTGGACAGGTTCAAAAATAGTCCTTCAACAATACAATCAGACTGAACCACGACGAGTAAAATGCAATTATGGCTTGGTTACATTAAAAAAAAAAAAAGTAAACAGTGAGGTTTGGGAAAACGAAAAGCAAAACTACATAGTTATCTCCTTCATTCCCGATCTCTGCATGTCCTGTAAGTGAGCTTTCAACACTGCATCCGTGGAGCTTTTGAACTAGATTGGAGGGGATGACACTCACGAAAGGAGACAGCTCAACAGAGTGTGTTCTGGGGCTGTTTCTCAGAACAAAGGAATACTTCTGCGTAAGGCAAATGCAGTCTGATAAAGGCTCCCCCAGTGGGTACTTGGAATGCCAAAGTCATTCACCTAAATGAGTTCAAAATGCATATTGTTCTGGGCCAAATTATACAGTGTCAAGCTCAGACTGTACATATTTATATATGTTGGCAGGGCAGGCCACATTTAGGGCGCCACAACTTTATCCTGGTATCCTGTGCCCAGCTGAGTTCTCATCACTCTCCCCAAACCCATAAATTTCCTTATATTTGGTTCCAGAAGGGCAGTATAAGCAGCAAAGTCAAAGTTTCACCAGCCCACAAGGGAACAAGGCCCCAAAGGACAATGACATTTTAAAGGAGAACAGAATGTGTGTTTTTGCCAGCAAGTTGGAACTTTTAGAAGGTTGATCTGAGATGGGGGTAGGACTGGGGACAAGATAGTATTGTGCTCCAGGTCAGTCTCTGCTAAGAGTTACAAGGCAGGAATACAAAGTACTCCGGAATTAAGGCAAACACCCTTAATGCTTCCTTTGGCTGGTCTTTGCCCAGAACAATTCTTTCAAAGAGACCAGTTTTTTAAAACACATTAAGTGGTGCTTCAAAGGTCCCCAGGCAAAGGGATCTAGCCAAATACTTGTCTAACACCCAGTGACTAGAGAAATGTAGGCACTGGATTCCAGTGGCCCTCTCTACTCCATATTTTTCTAACATCTTAACAATTAGCAGGCACATTGCTTTTTGGTTTTGTCTTTTTTGGAAGAGGAACTGTTTTCTCTTTGCCCATATAAAGCTGGAAAAATTAGGAGGAAATATCGACCTTTTAAAGCAAATATAGATACAAGTGTTAAGGGATGAAATAGGTTGCAAAGTTTTTTCTTTTAACTACATGAGTCACCTTAGTCAGAGAATGAAGAAGGCAAAGTAAAAAATAGCAGAGCAGTTGTGGTTAAGCCAAGGACATGCCTTATAGTCCTGGGCTCAGGCCCACTGTTGAACCTCAGCTGATCCAAAGATCAAGCAAAGCCCAGAGAGCAGGCGGCACTGCTGCCAGTTCCAGGCCAGAGCTCAGCACACCCTTCTAGAGAAGGGAGTATGGTGAAAGAATAGGGAGGAGGTAATGGGAGGGAATCTGTTACCCCAAGTGCACTCATTACATCTGCAACATCTGCAAAAATGAAAGTCTAATTAATCCATGTTCCAGAATATGGGTCCCACACTAGTTCTACCCTGGTGCCAGCTTCATCTCTCTCCCTTGTCCTTCCTTGCATAGTCTAGCGTACATTGAACCAGTATTAGTTCTGCAGTTATGCTATGGGCTTTAAGGACTCTGAGCTTTTGTATACACTTCCTTCCTTTCCCTATCTGCCTGAAATGCTTTTAAGTCTTAGTTTCTATATTCATTCTCTGTAAGGCCATCCCTCATTCCCCAGAGAGGTTTAAATGTTCTTTCTCCTTTGTTCTCAATGCACTTGTCTTCACTCTTCTTCCTCATCAAAGAAGCTCAATAAACAGTTAAGAGAATGAGAGGGCAAATGGAACAAACTCTTGCCCATGCTAATTTTATTATAAAGAGAATGAGGCTGAATTCTGGAAGTTTATACATAAATACATCTCACTGTAGCCTTAAAGCAAGGCTTCAAACTTGTTCAGTTATGGTCAACACAGTGAAACTGGAATAGATGGGGATTTCAAATATCTGGTGTAAGTGGAATATGTGGAACTAGAAAAATTACAGGCAGAGTCTTGAATGAGAGACTTGGAAGAGACATGGTAAGCCTCTGAGAGAATTACAGCCAGAATGTAGAGAGCAACATACATTTAAAAGAGTGGGAATGGCTGTCATCTTTGAGGAGGACACCACAATTTCTGACTCTGTCAGATTTGGTTGCTATGTACTATGTAGCTGACCTTGTTTTCTAAAGTTTTTAGCAGGGTATCAGCCTTGAATTTTTTCCATTCCAGTATGTCCACATTTTACAAATTTAAATCTGTTCCAGTTTTACTTTGCAGGCCATGACTGAACTGGTCATAAATGGGTCAGATCAATAGGGTGATCCGTCCACATAGTTAGCTTTCACTTTGTACGCCAGCCAGTGATTTGACATCAGGGCAGGATGCATATCTAAAAGCTGGCCTGCTAGGTTCCTTGGTGAAAACACCACACATAACTTAAAGAGCTGCTGTGGCATGAAGAAGCTCCTCAAGACACTCATAATCTCACTCTGACCAGGCGGCAGCACGCTACAACCTCTGACTTATGGAGTGGAAATAGCTCTGAAAGCTATACATAAAGACTGAGTGGGAAGGAACAACTGTGGTTTCAAGAGCTCATAGATGTGATCGAAGTGGTTACAACAGCTGGCAGTTAAACATGGCCCTCACACTCAAGAGACCAAAGGCAAAAAACACACGCGATGCACTGAGCTTCCTATTTTGTTTATTTCCTTTAAGACCACCTTCTTGCAATTTCCAGAGAGAAAATACAAAACAAGAAACAGACTTGGTTTCAAATACATAAACTGTGCTGGAGTATAAAGCATTACTGATAACATTGTTCCAGAAGAATGTCAGCTTACTCCAGGGCACTTCAATATTCCTGAGGAATAAACATGGTTTCTCTTTTTCTCCCACTGGGATGATCTCAGGCCTAAGTCACTGTTCCTGTAAAGCAAAGACAATCAGGTTAGAGCTGTGGAGAATGCTGCTTCGTGTCAAACCCAACGGGTCTTTATCTTTTACAGCAAACGTAGCTCCTTTACAACATCACCCGCTTTATAACTGCCAAGGACAAAGCTGTGGACATCCGCCCAGATTCACAAAAGATTGGCTCCCCAATCTTAAAAGACTGGGAAAGCAGAAAGGGCTAAACAATCAGTACCTGGATTATGGCATTCCTAAAACACAATAGAGGAAGTACAGGTGAGTGAAAAAGAGCATGATTCTGAAATTAAAAAGACCTACTAAATTATGTGTCTTAACCTTAGCAAGACTTCACGGTCTAATTGCTAAAGAAGGATAATAATGTATCTTTCAGAAATCTATTTTAATGTCTAGAAAGCCAGGAAATAAAGAAAGCACCTCAAAGGGGCCTCCAGGGCATGTAAGGCACTTACTGAACAGTTACTACAAAAAGACTGCACAGCCTCAAGCTGGGATTCTGCCCCTCTTAGGGAGCAAATCATGACAACATCGAGGTACAGACTCAAGTTCACATAAAGTTAAGTTACAAGGCCATTTTGGAACAATACACGCAAGGATATAAAAAAGTATATAAAAACATTTTTCACAGTAACTCACTGACATTAAATATGTAATATGCATGTAATCATCCCTAAGCATCATCCATAACAACTCAGTTTGGAACAATGCAAATATTTCAAACAATTAAAAAACCAAAAACACTTGAAGCGCCACTCCAAGTCCTTTTGTGTCCTCTCCAATATTCAGCTCTCTGGTGCCAGGAAAGTGGGGTCAGGGAGCAGTGGAAATTGCCTGTCGTTGATTTTGGTGCCACACAGCTGTGCCTCTACTTGCAATGTCCCTCGGATTACCTCACCCTGGCTTTAGGGCAGAGATGGTTCATTAATACTGGAGGGGAGGGAAAGGCCTGCCAGGCTTCCTTGCAAGCCAACTCTCCCTTCTCCCAGTCCTATAGCATGCACAGGCTGGTCTGGAGGCAGCTCACGGGACCTGAGCAGATTTCTAAATGTAGACTACTGAGCTGGGGTAGGGAACTGTTATCCAAGCTTCCATGACCCTTGTGGCTCTTAACTAACCAGAATTAGGACACTCTTTTTTACCACATTTTCTGCTCTATTTGCTATCATGCTAAAACAATTGATAAGCCAATCACCTTTTCTTGGCTGGCCTTTAACAACCAAGACCCCTACTTATATGGCACCTCACAGCATAGCAACATTTTAAAAAATTGTTCCTGATTCCATTTAATCCTCCCAACACCCAGTAAAGTAGAAATTATTATTCTCATTGTATGGACAGGATATGAAAACTTAGAAGTGAAGACTCGAGATCACATAGGTAGCAAGGACTCACACTCAAGTCTCCTGTGTGCTCTTTACATTCAGCCCTGTTACTGCCCAGGTTTTTCTTTAGTAAGTTTGTGACCATTCATACTCACATCCCATATATTTTAAACTCTAGTCATTCACTTCACATTTAAGAGTACTACTGTGACCCAGGCCTTGGAAATATAAACATCACCTCTGACCTTCTAGAATCCTTTCAATTAAACCTCACAGTAAATAATCATCTAAAAGAAGGGCAAAGAATAAAGTTCTATACACAAAATCTCTAAGAAGTGCATTATCCTCATCCTTCTTATAACAGGTAATAATGGCCTTTTTGAGTCTTTAAAACTTCATCTGAAGATAAGGACTTCATCAGAATCATGTAGGACGTAAGAGTCAAGAACTTTCTCTGTTCAGTAAAAACCAAAATGGCAGAATCCCATTCCCAGCAGTCTTTGGATTTAGTTTGTATACATACAGGTGAGATGCTTACAGATTGCCCTAAGATCTTGAACAGAAAGTGCTACTATTAAATAGTTTTTAACACAAATATACCTTAACACTGATAAAGCTCCTCAGAATTTTACCAATTCTAATCCGTTAATACATGAATGTATACAATACATATAGTCATTTGAAGATATAAGGAGATACTTTTAACATTAAAACAGTTTTAATATCGTTAAAGGCCAAATATATGTAATACATGTGGTTTACTGACTATATGCCCTCTAAAGAATTCTTCAGGCACTCTCAAGACATTATTTTTTTTCCTTAGAAAGACACCGACATATAAGTTATGTACATACTTTGACGTATTTTCCATGAAGAAGATAAGGAGACTGGAAATCATGTTGACAGTTGGAGTAGGCCATTCCCAATCCCATGCCAGAACCAAAGGCTAATGGCCACATTCTTCCTAGTGAATAGAAAACAGAAAATCCCAATACAGCACTAGTATGTGATGATACAGCTTTTCCCCACTTAGATAATTTGCCTAGGGTTCAATTAATATGTAATACACCTCACTATAAGACAGCAAAACACTTTTTTGGTATTTAATGAATGACAATAACCTGGTAAACAATAATTTAGTGAAGTATACTAAATGCCTATGTTGGTAGGTTTAAAGAAAATACGCAGTACAATATGAAAAAGGAGGCATAGATAAATTTTAAACTTTTCTACATCACCTCTAATAATTTGCTTATTTAAATTTATTTCTTAAGACTTCATCAGGAGTAATAGTTCTTTTCAGTAAAATGCTTGGATTTTAAAAATATGTAAGAATTTTACCAAGTATTTATAGTCCTTGCTTATAATAAGGCATGAGGTTTCCTTAAGACAACACTGCAAATGATTATTTCCTATCAGCCAGATGTATTATTATTCTCCAGTTATCTATTTCCAGTCTGTTCATTAGGGAACTTTTATTCAACATTCAGATTTCAGAAGTTTTTCTACAGAATGAAAAGAGACATTCCTTGCCCTCTGCTTAGGAGACTTACCAGCCAAGAAATGGATTTCTGGTCCATTTGTTTTTATTGCTAGCAGAACTCTTAATTTTCAAGTTTCTTCAGAAAAACTTTCAATTAACTAGAAATATTTGAGGGTGTAGATTTGGCCAACTGACTCACTGGCATAAAGTACAGATTTTTACAATGATATCATATTTAGGATTTCAAGCACCCTGACTCAATGCCTGGGGGAAATTCTGGAGATGCCCAACCCATCTGGAGCTCTTTTCTGAGTCTCCATTCTTTGGCCAGCTCATTTTACATTAGTCCACCTAACCCCAGAAGGGGACAGATGGGCAGGAATCTCATCATGCCTTTCAGAAGGGGCTCTGCTATATACAAATGCCTACACTCTTAAGAGTACAGAAGAGTAACACTTACTTTTAAAGAAGGTGAGTGAGAAAATAATTCCTAATCCCAAACCAGTACCTACAAAGATAAAGGGAAAATATGTTACATTTCATAACATGACGGAAAAAAAAAAAGTCTTAAATGTGAAATCTAGAAAAGGAATTCTTTTTCTCATAATTCAATAGAGTGGATTTTTTCATTTCTAAATTTCTTCCTTGTTTCAAAGGCCTTACAGATGCTTTTGGTACCTCTAGCACAGAAAAGGAGGTAAAACCTTTATTAACTATTCTCTCCAGACAAGCCGTTTTTTGGAGGGAGAGGAGAAAACAATCCAAGAATTGACTGTTCTGTGTTGCTTTCCAGCAGCCTCAGGCACCCTGGGCTCTCCTCCTCATCCTACATATGGGAGCTGCAGCAGAGAGGTCAGCAAAACAAGGCCAACAGGAAGCTCACCTTGTCATCCCAGTGTGCTGAGGGATGGTTACTTTTTGAGGAAGACGGGAAGCAGTGCACCACAGCACTCTGAAAGGCTGCACTATCACATAAATCCTGAATGTGGTGACTACTCTCCTCTCACTTGACTCAGAGAACATTTTAAACCACTGTCTTTATAACTAAAAGCCCAGGAAAAGTACAATTTAAGAAAAAGGACCAATTTATCATTTTACACAAGCATTGTTAATTTTAAAATTGGGTTCATTCAATTATTTATATTCACAAGCATTTTTTAAACTTTAGCTGTCCTGGTGCTACCATCATGATTAAGAATTATTTTCTCAAAAAGAAAAATCAATTTGTCTTTACATATATAAATTTAGCTTCAACATAAGTATCAGGGAAATCACAGCTGTGACTGCTATCTATGTATTTTGTCATAAAATATATTAAATGTGGTTGTTATTATGTGCCGTTCAGTCACCTGCAACTCATAGTGACCCTATCTATGCACAACAGCCCTAAACCCTGCTCTATCCTGTGCCAATTTCACTGTCTCCGACACACCTCCCCCATTACCCCAGTAACTGAATCAATCCACTTCATTCAGGGTTGTCTTCTCCTGCACCCAAGCAAGACATCCTTCTCCAAGGACTGGTCCCTCCTTGCATGCAACAAATCCAAAGTATGTCAGATGAAGCCTCAGAATCCTTGCCTCCAAGAAGCAGCCTGGTTTAACCCTCTCCAGGTCGAACCTGTTCATTTTCTTAGCAGTCCATGGTATATTCAATACTCTTCCCTAACACGACAGCTCAAAGGTATCAATTCTCCTTCTATCCTCCCTAGTCACTATCCAGCTCTCTTATGCAAAGACCACAGCCTGTATCAGGTACACCTTCGTCTCCAGAGTGACATCACTGCTCTTAAAATATTATAGAATAAAAACATTTGCCCATATAGTTATTGTTACATACCGTCAAGTCAGAAAAAAACAACAACAAAAAAACAAACCCCAATCCCCAAACCCTTCACTGGAATACATATATCCATTGTCAGTGGGAATGCAAAATAGCAGTCGTGAAAAACAAAACAAAACAAAACAAAAAATCAGGGTGATGGTTCAAAAAATAAAAATAAAACTAAATCCAGCAAATTCCACTCCTAGGTATATACCAAAATCGTTCAAAAGATAGTATACCAATGCTCTCTCTAGGCTATTCCCAACAGCCAAAACAACCTAAAACCCATCAACAGATGAGAAATCAAGAGTGGTACAAATGTACAACTGAAAACGACTCAGTCAGTAGGAGTAATGAAGTCTTGATAAATATTACAGTATGTATGAAGCCTGAAGGTAATATGTTGAATGAAATAAAGTCAGTTACAAAAGATCAAATGACTTATAAAAAGAAAAGACAAATATATAGTCTATTAGGGGTTATCAGGGGTCAAGACTCAACTCTAACCTCAAAAACACTGCCAATGATTTGAAACAAACTCACAACCGACCCTCCCATGGGTTTTCAGAGACTGTCAATTACATGAGAGGACACTGTCCATCTTTCTACTGCGGAACAGATAGTGGACTCAAACCACCTGCCTTCAAGTTGTCTGTGTAACAAGAGAAGGGAGGGAGAAAAGAGTTAACAGTGATGGGGAAATGCTGCACTGCTGACCATTTTAACTGCTATTAGTAAGCTGTACCTGTTAAAAGGAAATCTGCAGAAGTTGTATATTTATAACAACAAAGAGGAGCGGTGGAGGCTTTTATGAACAACAAAACACCTCATGGGATTAGGTCTTGGTTTAGAGGTTCAAGGGTCATAATTTCATGGACTTCCTCGTTAACTGGTCTGATAATGTGTTTTACTCATACCCACAGATCTGAAACTGACTCATATAGCTGCCTCTCTAGTGGGTTTTCAGAAGCTTTAAATCGCATGAGAGATTACTCACTTTTCTCCTCATAGCACCTGGTAAATGTGAACTACCTGCTGTTGGGTTGGTGGTGTTAACTCCTTATCCCTAAGCCACCATCATAATATGTTTTTAGTGCTTTTATCTTCTATTTCACTGTGAGCTCTGGTGGCCTAGTGAGTAAGGAGTTAACTGCCAACCTACAAGCAGGAGGTTCACTTCTAACAGACTGCTCCAAGGGAAAAGATGGGCAATCTCCTCTCATGCGATTTAGAGCCTCTGAAAACCCACTGAAGGAGGGTGACAGCTCTGAGTTAGTTCCAATTTGATGGCAATGAGGTTTGATGGTGTTTGTATTTGGCTTTGGGGTTGGTTTTTTTTGTTTTGTTTTTATCCCAGTTCACTGAAATGCCTGGGTCTAAAAAGGTTCCAAAAAGCCATCCAAGTAACAAACAGCTGATCTCCATTCACTGGGAACAACAGAGGAAGAGAATCAGAAAGAGGATCTGTGGCTAACTGTCTCCATGAACTGCTTCTGTTGCCATGCAACTAGAAGAGCTAGCTGGTGCCAGGCTACCATTTCTAAACATTTGATCTAAATCTACAAAAGACTCCTAGTCAAAAGCAGAAGGGCAGGGAAATGCAGAATGGAATTTCAAATTTTTATTAACTCTCTTTTAGGTCATGGAAGATGGATGATTCCCTGAAACTGATATCCAAAGGCAATCTTTAGAACTTAACAAACAATCTAGCCAATGGAGTTTTCTTAAAAAAGAAACATTTAGTTCAACTAATAAAATACTGACAGCATTATGCTCTCTTTTAATAACTACTACCTGTATGAAAGCAAATTTACAACAGCAACTCAAAAGGTTAGACAGAAACCTTGGGGAGCAGTGAGTTTATGTTAATGAAGGTGGATCAATACTGAGAAGATAAGAGTGACTGTGTAACTTGAAGAATGTAATGTATGTCACTACACTGTACATGAAAAAAGTTGAATTGGTATATATGTTGCTGTAATATCAACAGAAAAAAAAAATTGAAGGGACAAACTTCACATACTAAGAAATCCTCACTGCCATCAAAAAAGTAAACTCTATATGCCTAAGAAGAACGTTGAAAGCTGATGTGCTTTATTTCTAAGACACGATTTTCTGTTTTCAAAGATCTTTCAGAGTACTCAGATGCTCTTTACCCACTCCATGGTCCAGCAAAGCTCCTGCCCTAACTCTCGCTTGCTTCGTTATTTTCAAATCAGAGCTGTGTAAATTCTAAGAGTTTGCTCTGTAACCATGAAGTGAAGCTGCTGCAGAAGAGAGTCAAAGTACCTCTCAGTGAACAACCTTCATCTTTCTGTTCCAGAGAACTTTATCATGGGGAAGGAAGCAAGATAACCCACATCTTCCTGAATCCAAGCACAGCAGAGTTCTTTATTTGTAGTACGTTCTATAAAGTCACTGTAAACACAGAATTAGAGAATATTGAACTGTTTTCCCTAAGAGAGCACAGGGTTAGGTTCCTGCAAGCCCCTGGTCACAGTATTTTTGTCAACTCATCAGTACAGAACCTTTTCCATAACTATCTGTTTAAAATCTATTGGTGTCCACTCAAAACCAGTTCACAGCCGGCCCCCTAGGGTTTGCAAAGGCTGTAAATCACATGAAAGGAGACTGCTCATCTTTCTCCTTCATAATAGCTGGCGGATTTGGACTGCTCACATTTGGTGTGGCATCACAACTTCCTACCAACTAGGTCACCTTATTTAATATATATTGCTGTTATTCATAAGCATTGAAAACTTTTTAAACAACATTATATAATGCATGTCTCAAAGAAATTTTTAATAAATCTATCAACATATTTCTCCATAAGGCAAATCCCAGCCTCCATGTACTTAGGAACATTAGCTAGCACTTCAGCACTACATTAGAGGGGCGGTGGTGGTGTGAATTTTAAACAGTGAAATCATTAACAAAACACACAAAAATATAGAAGTGTGGTACTAGACCAGGCAAAAGGCACTTGTTTAAAGTATAAAAGATGAAACAAGAAGGCAGAACATAGTCCAATCAGGCAACTCAAATTTTTAGTGCTTTGTGCTTTATCTCTTGACTGCTACAAATACTGATTTTGAAGTGACAAACTCTGGTGAGGAGGCAAGGGCACAAATAGGAATTCAAATAATGAGAACCAATGAATTCTTTTTACACTTATGCAACAATTGAGCTGGTGTTTGCCTGAAGAAAGCACTTGTGCTATTTTTCCAGATAATTTCCAATAATTCTTCTGATATTTACATGTCGGAATTAGTGAGACTGGCTCAGGACAAGGAAGGGTCCAGAGCTGCTGTACATCTCAGGTGACTCAACGGCACATAAAAACAGTAACAGACTATCTTGATTGTTTTTTATTTAAGTCTCCTGTTTAAAAAGTAAGTGAGACCTCAGGGAGGGCCTCTGTATTTAAAAGTTGGTTGTTACTGTATTTTGGAGGAACATTTTTCTAAGTGATACAGCACTCTTCTGTCAATATGCTGTACTGAGGTAACCTTGGGTTACTGTAATGCTGAACCTGTGTCACTGGGGTTTCAAATCATATAACGGTTACCCATGATGGACAGTGTTTGGTGGAGCTCCACATTTAAGACAGGTTTGGAAGCAGGAATGGCATCCACTTCCTAAACAACATGCCTCTGGAAACTATGAACTTTGAGAAACGATAGT